CCATGCCAGGATCCGATCATGACAGTGTTGGCATCTTCCAACAACGGCCACAATATTGGGGAACTGTCAAGGATTGCATGGATCCTAAGACCAGCGCCGGGAAGTTCTATACTGCCCTTAAAGGAATCAGTGGATGGGAGAACGTCAGCATTGGCACGGCCGCACAGATGGTTCAAAAGTCGGCATTTCCCGACAGGTACGATCAACACGCATCCGAAGCTGAAGCCATTTGTCGTGCGGCGTTTTGAACAAGTTGACAAGACAGACCAACAGGCACTGCCTTCAATGACTGAAACATGATCGTTGAACTGTGTTAATACTACTTGTAAATAAAGGATATTGAATCTAAGTTTTTTGTTGCACTGTACTCATTGGGTTTTCATATGAAAACCCCGCATTTTACAAATCGGGTCTTCTTCTGTGTATCCACTTACAGGGTGGGTGCGGGTATGGATGTGCTGAAATAGATGATCTATACTCATACCAACGCCCACAGAATTTGTACTGTCATGTACTGTGATATACTATTATACAGTCGGATATAAAATTTAATTCTGAATGAAACTGTATTGAGGTTAATTCCAACAGTGAAAATATTTAGATTGTTTCGAATTTGCAGGACAAGAATATCATTAGTCCGCAAGAAAAGAAGTTTTATGGCTTTTTACACATTTCTTTTACCTCGAAAACTATTTCTTGAAAAATTTTTTTCTAAAAATCTAAATCATCTATCTAAATATACAGAATTTCATGGAAGAGTTTGTCAAATAGTTAAACTTTTACCGGAGTCTTCGTTAGAAAATTAGTATCAGTTTTTTTATTTCTCGATCACGACAGTTGAACGATTAAGCAAGTTTTCTTTTTCTTTATTTTTCACCGGCAAGAGAAACTTATATGAAAAAGAAAATCGAGAAACTTCGTAGAGATCGAAATTCTCTTTCTTTTAGTAAAAGAGGCAATATTTTCAAGATTAAGAAGCAAAAGAAAAATAACTGAGGTTTAGTGCAGTTTCTTCTGGAACATCTGTGTTTTTGTTTATTTACATAAATATTATTCAATATTTGATATCATTGTTTGAATTCTATCATGACAATAGTCTTATTTTATTTTGTCAACCTGAAATGTATGAAATTCAATAAAAATTTTCATCGTACTCAAAGTGATCATGCAATAGGAATTAAAGGTTGTGAGTGTGGATGCGAGAGTGGACTCAGAGAATGCCCATATCCATCTAGATTCAGACTCACCCACAACTAGACACATGCACCTACTCATACCTAAAAACCCCTTCAAAAAATTTTTGTGCAACAAAAATTGATTAATTCAGATTGTCATATGTCCAATTCCACTATGACTCAATATTGAAGAATGAAAGTTATTATAGACATGATATAAATACTGTTTGTATTTTTGGCGCAATCCACATATCAAAAGCCAACTTAATGAGAAAGTTATGTTTAAATCTAAATCATCCAAAAAATTGTGTCCAGTATTGTACAGATTCAAGCTGCAAACGGGCCCAAAAACGATGAATACTCTCATATTGTTATATTTGAGCTTACTAAACAAATATCTTCTTGATTTGAGTTATTCATGCATGTTATCATCAGCATCTGTCTAAGATTAATTTTAATGAACGATATATTGAATTTTATTGTGCTCAAGCGTAAAAAATTAGTGTGCAACGGTTCTTAACATGAAAACATATCCTCATCGTCGGGTAGTCAATAACAGAAAACTTTCGCTTCTTGTTTTGTGAGTGACAATACTGTACTGAGCTCAGCACCTTGCATGCCTGTTTCTAATTAGAAAATTTTATAGAAAGCTCCGTTAAGTTGTAACACAAATCGTGTTCCAAAGCCAAAAAACAAGCAATGTCATATTTTTTAAATAAAAAGAAAACAAAAATAAGTAAGACCATTAAGTCTAATTAGGAATCGTCAAGCGTTAACCACAACAGTATCCTATAAGAGCGCCACATGCCCCTAAGCAGGCAATTAAATTGATCAGAGCATAATGTGTTAGCAATGAACCGAGAGCCATATTATAAACAAGTTTTGAGCAATAATTGTACGAATCAGAGGCTTCATGTTGTACTTTTGATTTATTACTGAACACCCAAATACTATCCTGTTAATAAATCACACTAAGACATACACTGTACGACATTTTGATAGTACTTACACTGATCATCCATGCGAGAAAAGAAAAGAATGAGAGCAATTCCCAAACAGAGCCCAAAACCAAAAACGCAACTATCATGACGACGAAAATAATAAATGAAACCCTGAAACAAATTTTAATGGCAAAACGATTTTAGCAGAGATCTATTCGACTTACAAGAATCATCAGCTAGCTTGCACCGTAAGCGTAATGCTCAAAATAATTGCTCTAATTACTGTGGTTGTAATTGCAACCGACGGACAAAATTCTTTCTCCTCCTCCCAAGCCATTTTGGTTGATAAACAGAAGAGCTTGTCTCTGATTGACTTGAAATAGTTCCACTGCTTTTCGATGCTGAAATTTGACTTTTGGAGCTCTAGAGCAAGATATTTTAAAGATCTTCCTGAGACAAGCATATCTACATCCTACGATTGTTTTGGGGAAATTTTCGACAATGCGAGATCCTTGGTTGAACTGTTGAGTGCTCCAAATATTAGCAAAATCATTTATTATGTAGATATATCGACAAAAAGTAAATCATATACTCTTGAGTTATTCTTTACAAGGGCATATAATTGTATTATCTACAACTGTTTCTCAGAAATTGTTTTTATTAATTTATCTTTTCAAAACGAAGAAATATTTAGTTTGGAAAATGGAAGTTGATGTTGCATGTCTCTTGAAGGCCTCTGCTAATTGTGCATATACTGAGTGTACTTTTGATCATTCCTTCGTCAACTGGATAGAGTTTTCTGTGAAGTAATTCTTTTGAGAATGGTGACATTTTTCTCTCTTGTCTGATTCTTTTCAGAAATTGATTCTGAAAATCTCACCCTCCATCAAGCAAGATTATTGTTGCCTTTTTTTAGATACTAGACTCATCTTCCTATTGTGAATGCAGGTAACATGTGATTCTAAGCGATTCAGCTGGGAACAAAGCCTGAATAATGTGCAAAAGTCTATGTTCACTGTAGTAGTTCAGACAGACCATTTCCATTCGGCAAAGATAGATTGGAATGAAACTGTTATATATAATTCTGAAAGAGCATTTGATATTCAATCGAAATACAATTATGTGGCTTTCAGGGCATGGTAAATTTCACTTTTCAGGAAATTCAAAATTGGCTCCACCTCAATTGCAGAAGATTAGTACGAACAACATTTATGTGACAATGCGTAGTGTGGATGTGGGTCGAGTTGGGTCAAGTAAGAATATATATGTTTATATACAATATATAATTGCATTTTAGGTTGGGTTGGGTTGGGTTGAGTCAAGTAAGAATATATATGTATATATAATATATTATTCTATTTTTGGTTGGATTGTAGTAGGGTGGGGGTGGGCGTAGGTGTTAGCTACTTCTCCTCACTCAGATCCACACCCACACCCAGACCCAACCGAAACCTAACTTAAACTTAAACTTCTTTTCGATACATATTTCATACCATAATGAGTTTCATTTTATGACTCGACCCAACCCAATCCAAGCCGAAATTGAATCATAGATTTTACATATACATAGAGATATATATTCTTACTTGGCTTGACTTGACCCAACCCAATCCTAAATTAGACTTCAACTTTATTTCTATATTCTTGTTTTAATTAGAAGAGTTTTCTATTATTATCTGTTAGAGAGCACTCTAACACACATCTTTATTTCTTATCTCTTCTCTTCTACTTGTGTGTATGCGTCATCATTCGGATATATGTTATCCACCCCTATATACGAAGGTCGATGGATCTATTTCTTTTCTTTTCTCCTCTTCTTTCTCTCTCCCTCTCTTCTTTCTTATTCAGCCGTGAGAATTTCAATACATTCTCAGTCTTTTTCATTATTATAATAAAATAGTCTAGGCTGAAGTAGAAACATATTCATCACTCTCCTTTTTCTCTCTTTGTATTTTACTTATCTCTCTCTTTTTTTATAATAATTTATATAGTAGCCTTTTTTCTCTCGCTCGGTGCGTTGGTACATGTGTGAACTAATAAGAAAAAAAATGTATATATCTAGGATATAAGAAGAATAAATTTGAAAGATCGAGGAGATTCAACTGAACCGAACCAAAGGAAGGATTAACGAACGTTGATCCTTCATTACAAAGATAGGACTTTGTAACATTATCCTTAAAAGTATTCGATGAAATTTTGATGAAATTTCTCCTATAGTCACTTTATTTGAATTTTCTGGAAATAGGACTTTACCATCGCATGAGTACGGGTGGTGAGATCGCCTCAGAAATGATGCGAATGTTATCGAAAAATGAATCACATCCATATCCACACCTCCGAATAGTGAATAGAGATGGTTTAGTCAAGAAAAAACTAGCTTTTTCTGTCATGTTTTCCTGCTTATGCTAAAGGATGAAATATACAATCTATTTTATAAATACTGTCTAATGACCTAATGCTATATTGATAAACACGAAGTATTCGAATCAATACTTTTGACTTATAGAAGAAGAACAAGAGCCATACAAAAATGTACACATTCACGCGACACAAACTCGAAATGCCCTTTGCTCAATTCATTATACAGAATGAAGAATATCACATGTAAATAAGTAACTGACAAAATAAAATGTGCCATCATACAAAAATTAATTCATAGTAGCAATTAAAATGCCTGGGACATCTTTATTATGCTCGATACAACATTATTCTTGTGTTGAGTGTGCGGTACACTCTTGTAATCTGTATTTCAGTAATAGTAATAATCGACAATGGCGTTAATGATTTTGATCAAAATCTCTTTATTTTAGTCGAAGAATAAATAATGCTGAAAAGTTACACGATTGGAATAATAAAAAGAATAAATGTCATTCGGAATCAGTTCTTAATTATTGCTATGGTCAGTACCGATAAGAATACGTTGAATAAACATGTCCCACGATGGAACGCTCAGTTCTAATTGCCTACAATATATACTATTACGTTGGCATGCTAATTGATAGAATTTGATCGCTTTGCCAATTTGTTCGCTTATGTTAGCAGGTAAATAGTTGCAAAGACGAACCTTAACAAGATATAGACATTAGAGTAGGGTAAATGAGAGGATTGAACAAAAAAAAACGATTTACTTTGATCTGTTCGCTATTAAATAAAAAGTCGAACGTATTCTGTTGTGAAGCTTCCGTTTGAAGTACGAGCCAAAGGAGTATGACACCCGTACCAACCAAACAAAGAATGTCGTTACGTATGTTTACAGCTAACAAAAATAAAGCTCGTGTTTTTGTATGTTTACAATAAATTATTTGATCTTACCGAGTGAGTTAAAACCTTGTTCATATAAATAGCGTTCAAGACCATTGAAAATATCAAGATTGATGTGAAGTACATCAGCTAAATCTTTATTTAACGTAAATGAACCGTCCTAGATTCGAATCGAATGAAAAAACAATAAATAACTCATGAAGTTTCGATATGGTTCTACCTCGGATTGAAGTTTGATAAGTTCTTCAATCATTGTTTTTGTTGATCGAATATCTTTCAGTTTACTGAGAAGTGAAGCATCAACATTTTGACCTGAATTCATATAGAGTAACTATTGCAGTATATCTCACAAACTATTACAAGATATAAATTACCGAATGAGGTAATAAGGTCACTGCAAAAGTTGTGTGTTAAATTTTCAGTTTGACCATCAAGCTGAAAAAAGACAAAATTTGAACAATCGAACTAATAAGACAATATAATACGAACCATATACAATGGATCACTAGGCGAGCGATCATAAACTACAAAATAAAAACAATTAAATATCATTTACCCTTTTAATACTGACTAGATTTAGCTGCAAAATCTGCATCGCTCTCTACATATTGAATACGTCGGTCAATTTCATCTTTTGAGAATCCTAAATATATTTCCATAGTATTTAATTACGATATCAAATATCAAAGTAATTATCGTACTTTTCTGATTACTGGGGTCAATAGTAAATGAAGCTTTGGCACCTGAACGAGCTTCTTCGGCGGTGACACGAAGTATACCGTTGGCATCGATATCCATGCAAATAGAAATTTCGAGAGTCTGAGCAGCAAAATTGCTTGATAGACCAGAAAGGTTGAACTCGCCCAAGAATATCTATAATAGAGAAGGCTACCAAATAACATTTATATATGTTGAACACTACACACATTGTATTTTGTGAGCGTATGTTCGCCTTCAAATATGCGAATGGTTGCTGTTTTCTGATAGGCATAAGCGTTTGTGAACACTGGACAAAGTTGAGATTTTGTTGGAATGGTTGTATTACGACGAATGAATGTGTGCATGTGACCATGAATATCTTCAATGCCTACTCTGAAAGAAAAAAAGGAGCACTGCAGAAGCTTTTTATGGTTCTGTAGCTCATGCAGAACCTTTTCAAGTTCTGTATGAAAGTACAGAACTATCAATAGTTCGGTGTCGAAGAATACTGAACCGAAAAGGTTTTGCACAATGACACTGAACCTAGTTAGGTTCTGTCAAAAAATGCCGAACCATAAAATGTTCTCTATTCAAAAGTACAGAACCCAACAGGTTCCGTCCCATGATGCTGAACTTTGCAAGGTTCGGCAAAAGAATCTTGAACCATAAAAAGTTCAGTGTCCAATAATACTGAACCAGGTATAGTTCTGTCAAAAGATGCGGAACCATTCACTGTGTTCTATCCACAAGGGCGAATTCAAAAGGTGTTGTCCCATGATATTGAACTGTCTAAGGTTCAGCAGAAAATTGTTGAACTATAAAAAGTTCTGTTTCTATAATGCTAAACCGAAGAAGTTTTGCACAATAAGACTGAACCTTGAACGGTTCTGTCAAAAAATGCTCAATTCTAAAAAAAGTTCTCTATTCAAAAATAGTGAAGCGGAAAATATTTTCACTTTTCTGCTCAATTCTTCAACGTGTTACAGTTCAAACGTGCTGCCATAAAAGGATTTGAGAGAAAAAATATGGTGCAAGATATATTTATTATGAAGTCTTTTTTCAACAAGTTGGCAGNAAATGAAAAATGGTATGTTAGTTAATCTAGAATAGATATTCAAATACATTAATATTCAAAAAATAAATAGATATTAAGATCGAAAGATTGAAACGAAACTGCTCAAACGCTATGATATATACAAACCAAGGAATTCAATTCTTTTGTCCATCACTTTAAGAATGGACAGCATCTCTAAATTTTCATTTTGATCTAAATCATATGATCATCCTCTCTCTCTCTCTCGTTTGAGATATTTAGAGTTTAAATGATCGAGTTCCACTTACGACTCTTCTTACCATCATAGTCGGCGAATAGTTGACTACAAGAGAATGAATACGATATTATATTTTGAATATTTCCTTCCTTTCTTTTACATACCATTCGTCACTTGTAATCATCAAATTGTTAGCTTCACATTGTTGTTGTAGTGCTTGTCGTTCTTCTGCGGTTGCACTAATAATTTCGATCTCTATATCTATTTATTTTTTGAATATTAATGTATTTGAATATCTATTCTAGATTAACTAACATACCATTTTTCATTTTATCGTCGAGTTCATTTGCTTTTTCGTGCTCATTCAATGAATAACGATACGTATGTATAATAGCCAGCATCGTATCAAATTTTGCATCACCACCAGCTCGATAGGAAATTTTTTCACAAAGTTTTTCAACATCAGCAACTGATTCGTTTTTGCTTTGAATCGATGCACTTTCGAGTGAAATACGTGCATCAATCAATTTTTGTTTCATCGAAGCTAAATTTGATACATCACCATCCCATCCGATGTATGGTAACAGGTCAACATCTCGATCAAGCATAACATCAAGCAGACGAACACCTATAACAGAAAGTACATAATGTAGATATTCTCATTAATAATATGAATTAGAAAAAAAATCAACTTATTGAAGTAAGGTATAAAGATAAAATGATCATCATTTAGACAAAACTGAAATACAACTTGAATACAGGCACTTCAGTTATGACGGTATCAACATTTTTGACCTTCGTATCCAGCTCTAGACATTTAGCTCATTGTATAAGAAGCATGTAGATAAATTTTTCCTTTTTGTACTGTTGTGTTACTAATCAATTATTAAGACTATCTATACAATTTTAGATTTCTACTAACCTGGTTGAAGTGTTCGTGCAACTGTTTTAGTATGACGTTCTTCGATGGCAACAAAACTAGTGTATTCACTGACAACAGAATGTTTGATGCTTAGATCGATAAGATCTCGTTTACAGTGAACTTTGATCAATTCATTTTCGCTCTCGTCCACATGCAATAATCCATTTTCATAATCGTCAATTATCGCTCGAGCAGTTAGACAATGTAGAATACGTCCTCGGGTTGTTGTCATAGTACTGCTAAATACAGTTGTAACAAATTCTTGTCCATCGATAGTAGCCGTCAATATTGCCTTATGACAGTTTTGTATGAATCGATAGACACTAATTCGCATACCGTTGAACAAGGATCGAATCATTTTCGGTGCTTGCATATTGAATTTTTGTTCTTCATCTAAATGACCATGCCAATCGATTGATATACTTGTAATACACGGTTGTCGAATATGTTCGAGAATGTTCAATACTTTCGTTTTCCATTTTGATCGATAGTTCGAATCGAATATTGTTGCTAGACCACCTCCACTTGCTCCACGAGCTAATTGTTTTAAAGCATGCTTGTCAGCAACATTACCTATTGCACATGTAAATAGACGATCACGACACATAATCGATTGATGTTCGAGTAGTGTAAGAATTGATTTGAAATCATGGATATGTCCATCGGATAGAAGAATGAATTGCCGACCAAATTTCGACGATATTGATGATGGTAAAAGTGAATAACGTTGTAGAACAGAAAATAGATCGGTGTTACCGCGATGGACAAGTGAATGCTAGAATATGTCAAATGTATAGATTTCAGTGGGAAAAAATCATGCTCAAAGCAAATTACTAACCAGAACAAAATGTTTGGCTTTGTCAAGATTCTCTTTTGTGGTTGGTGTTGAAATTGGAAAACATTCATCATTATCTAAATAGTTCAAATTTGAACAGTAGAATAACACTACTGACGATCATCTTATTACCTGATCCGAAAGCAACTACATTGAAAATTGTATTTCCATCGTTAACTTTTAAATTCATAAGAAATAAATGAGCTAATTGTTTAGCTTGTTGTACATGACTGCCATCCATCGAATTGGATGCATCGATAATAAAAATAATTTCAACTCGTTCGCTCGAATTCGTTAACGTTTCAAATCGCGGATAAAAAGTAAGCATGCATACTTGAGAATTATGATTGTTCGATGTTGTTATTTCGTCGTCATCATCCAATGACAATGTTTCATTTGATATTCGAGGTAAATTAGCACTTTTGAGTGTGATTGAAAGAATAAAATCTCGATCAAGTAAGATATTATCGACAAGTTCGACCATGGCAATACAATCAGTTAATTTTCGACGAAGACGATGTGTCGGCGAAAATAGTTTGGTTATTTCGTAAGGCATTCGAATTGATGCTTTGAAACTGAATTCAACTTTTTCATCAACAATACCAATAGATCTTACAATCGATTGATCTTTAGTTTCAACTGCTTGTTTCGATTGCCATGAAGCCATTTTAGCTGGAAGACGAAAGATGATATCTCCATTTTCGATTTCTAATTCAGCAACATAGGTTATTTTGATGATGACTTCATTGTTCGCTGGTAAATTACCAACAGCTACGCTAAATACTTGAGCTTGTTCTTTGTGCATCAAATAGGCACCATGGCCCTTTTCGATTGCTTCTCGATATTCTTGTTTGGCTTGTTCTTTTTCTTTGACGACACCTGTAATAACTTTATTGTTGATATGTGCTTCGAAACCGCACACGGTCGAATTTTCATCAAGAGGAAATACATATTTGGCTTCGATGGGTGTCGAACTCGTATTGTGATAGACTTGATACAGAACAACCTTTTTTTTGTTGAAAAAAGAAACATGATGAATTAATATTATTTCAGTAGAACAATAGACATGATTACTTCAACTGTAGCGTCAACAATTTGAGCACGAATATGAAATGATTTAAGTGGTACACGTTTTCCCGACGATGGACATACTAAACCATAGTCTTGTTCGGCTACGTCAATAACTTCATCGTCAATTGTCAACGGAACTTCGACTGGAAAATAAGAGGTAATCTAATCAAAATTTATTCTAATAACAAATACTCATTATTACCATGTTCGCTCAATTTTAATGCATTTTGCTTATGATGAACAATTGGTAATCGTTCTAATTCGATATTAAGCGTATCATGTGGTACCCATGAAACTTCCAAAATATACAGTAAACGTTGTTGATTGAGTTGATAGATTGCATATTCATTATCCTATTTCGATAAAAATCAGATTAGCAATTGCACGATTAGGCATGTTGCAAGATCGAAATCGACATAAGAGTCTCGGGCCTAGTTTTGTATCTAATATTGAATCTTGATTTTTATTTCTAGTGTATTTATTCTAGTGTTTCACATCTATATTAACAGAGACTCGACTGAGACACAAAACTCGAGCCGCTCCGTCTTCGAACATGTTTATGTTCAAGTCTAGGACATATAAGTTGGATGATTTCGAATTTTTTCGTTAAAACGAAATTAAGCATCACTCGAACATAGATCAAAGATTGCTTTTCGGCAACGGATGGCGTGCTCTTGATATAATACATGACTATACTTTATGTAAAAGAATATGTACTGATCAAATTTTGTTTTACTTTCCACTTCAAGACGATGCTTTGATCAAGTCAGCTGTACAGCTGTAGCTCAGTTTTATAATTTATTCTGCCTGTAAGAGAAATCCTTTTGTTGTAGAAATGCTCAGCGACACTAAATAACGGAAAAGTTTTGTATAACACTCCACATAAGATCTTTTCTGCAAAATAGTCGGTATAAAATCGATTTAAAACTTAGAAAGTTTTTCAAAGATTCTTTTAATTGGCATTAGTTTAGATTAAAAACACTGACTTCTGTTCAGATTTCAGCAGTTGTTTTAATGATACATGTTAAAATTGAAATTTTTAATAATATTTTTCTTTGTAAGTACATTAAAAAAAATGAATGTAAAGTGTCATATATGTTTTTAAAAACGCCTCATATGAGAGTTCAGCCTATCCCGATATGGATAACTTCAACGGATTTATTTTAACAGGGAAATCCGAAAAATAAAAACGAATACATATTACTTTTGTTTCATTATGACAATGAGTCTAAATACAAAAAGCTTTGTTCATAATCTATTCACATTGTTATAAAACGCAAATAAAATAACCTACCGCATACACTCATGTCATTTATATCATGACAGAAGTTATCAGTTTCTCTTTTACCTAAATGTGCTACATTAAGAATGCACTAGTTTCTGGAATTATACGCCAATAGTAAGACACACAAGATAAGAATAACCGTGACAAACATGTTAACTATGACGTTAAATTTTAGGCATTGATAAATTCCTACGCTAAAGCTTTCAAGATCATTAGGATATTCTTCCTTTCTCATTATAGTATATCGCGATTTCTAATTAAAAAAAAGAGAATATGATTAACCAACACATTGGAGATTAACATTATTTAACTGTTAATTTCTTCGTGAAACTTATTACTAATGAATAGAGCACGATCGAAGATGAGAATCGTTGATAGTGTAATTTATCAAATCCGAATTGATTCTTATTCTAGACATTAGTAAACTGCAGAATCAACTTTGATAAACAGAAAAATGAAATATTTTCACACATTAAAAACCTACATTTCAATTGAGTGAAATGTTTTCTTCATGCAAAATGTATTTTGTAATGCATTAAAATTGTCCGTGGTGTACCTGTCGAGGATGCATTATCAAGAACTTGATTCTAACAAAGCTCTCTATATTATATAAAGAAAAATTAAACGACTTGTACAAAGATCAGAGATAATCTCATATTTCTTGTCTCAATGTAATCAGATTTAGAAAATGATCGCCACATAATATGCTATTGTTATATTTACACGCATATAAGAAAAAGTAGTCAAAGTGCAGTAATGTCATTGTCGTTAAATCATAATTGATGCTATACTATGATTAAATATAATTATAAAAAAATTCCGCAAATATACGAGGAGACTGAAATACAAGCAACAGTGCTAATTAATAGAATAAAGATGTGCTTGAAACGAAATTTTTCTATCTGATGAGGAGGCATGGTCTGGCCATTTTTTAAGGGAAAAATTGTGAGATCATTTCGGGCGCTTCTAATAAGGATCGCTAGGAAAATTTTTGCTTTAAGAACTATACAGAGCATGTCTGATGCGATTGAATATCACTTAGTAGAAAATGAAATTGATTTGAATTCTTTTTTTCTAAAGGTCAATCTGGTCAGAAACAATTTTTCTTACCTGCCTTCTTATAACTGTTAAAGATGCAAATATTTCAATTCATCGAGTTTTCATCAAGTCAATAAGGTTAGAATGATTTGCGAAACGAAATCTATTGAGAAGAACAATTTGTTTAATTGAGAAAAATCAGGTCATGATAATGCTGCAATGTTGCATTAATATCTGTTCATGTGTATGAAATCATTAGACCAAAAATAAAAAATTTGTTGATAGAATTTCAAGGATAATTTTTTCATTAATAAAAAGCCAGTTTCAATCAAGAAGACGAACGAAAAGAAATTTTAGAAATACTCACAATATAATTCTTTATAGACTATGTGTTAGTTCTACTCAAACTCTGCAGAAAGATTCCAATATGAATGTTGTTTTGTGTAGTCGAAATATTTGTCTTTTATCTTAATTCTTGATCTAACCACCAGCAACTACAGAACAATTGCTAAATGTTTAAAAAAAACGCAATGAACTACTTTTTTTTACCTGACACAACAAATTTAAGAAAGAATGACATTATTTTGTGCAAATTCTGCTTTTTTATTATCGAACGGATCCTTTCAATATATGAACACTGTAGGTAGACATGAAAATGATATTGATAACAACATTGAGTGAAATATAACTTATACAGCGTCCTCTGATATGGCTACACCTTTTTTTGTTATTCAGTGATGTCATCTTCCCTCGGCTACTTATCAAGTAATGACACTTCAAACGAAATAAATCGAATGTTGCATTTCTACTTGAGAAAATTTAATGTACAATAGGCCTTTTGGAAAAAAAATTCTCAAAACAACTAGTCACTATTCTTGACACAAAAAAACATGACATTCATCGATTCCATGCATATCAACCGAAATTTTCAAAAATATTCTTTTTTCTGTGACAGGAGACAAGAACACTGTAACTACTTACGAAAAACATTGAACGATTGTCTTCCGTACGTCTGACTCCATGCGTACTATGAAAGCCATCGGGAGGTTTGATGAGAGTCGGTGAAAATGAGTAATAGTTTGCTGATTCGCCTAGTGCTACTTGGCAAACGCACAATAATCGTCGACCTGGCCGTGTCATACTTGCTGTCGTATATTTTAGAGATGTAGCAGCACAATCAGAAAAGTAGACTCCATAACCAAGACAACCAATATCAGTGCGTACAACACCTAATTCTTCAACTACAATTTTTGGCATGACCAAACCACTGAATGTACATAGTAAGACTATAAAAGATTGTCTGAAGGATGAAACGAATATTTTACCGTGATAGAATTCCAAGAAAGTTGGCATATTTGGACCCATGAAATAGTTGCCGTTGATTGGATAATGATGTGCAAAAATTCAGTGCATCTGTCTGTTTGGTCACGTTGAATACATGATGAAGAACAATTTGTTCACCACTAGTGAGTAAAAACAAAGATATCAAAATGAAATCGAATTTTAATTCTTCTCACCTATCTGTCGATGATTGAATAAGTTTGGCAACATTCTTAAATTCGGGTGTTGACCTATCCACTGTTTCAATATGACATTTCAATGCTCGATATTTGGCTTCGATCGGTGCTTTAACATTCCAATTGGTTAGTTCATTAACTGTTAGCATATCTCGAAGCATCTGAACGCACGAAAGATCAAGTGAAACAATTCAAGAAAAATAGACGTACTTGGCATAAGTCAATTTTTTCGAACAATATTCGACGATTCTTTATGAGATCAACATTGTACTGTGGTTGATGAGGAATAAGTGAATAGAAACGAAGTGCAGCAGCAGGATCATTGGTCGATCTGAGTTCAAGAAGTGCAGCTTCAGCTTCGATGATCTATTTAATAGTTTGATGAAAAAATTAATTTGAATGTAGTAAAATGCATGTGTATATACTGCTTTGAGAGTGATCGATTCAGGTGGGACACTCAACATTTTATTCAGATCACCAATAGATTCTAGCCAAATTGATTCGATCAATTGACATACATTCTCATCGAGTATTTGTGTATCAATTCGATGGGTAAATAAAGACTAAATATAATTTTTTTTGTAATACAATTTCTCCTTGTCAACGTCATTTATGTACTTACGCGTAACAATAGTTTCGATCCTAATTTATCAGGTAACATCTCACGAATTCGTGTTACACGTGGCATTGTAGCCAGTCGATAATAGTACGATGCAAATAATTGTTGTTGTTCGTTTGGATCATCATTAAATGCATACTGTATCAATACTTTTTTATCTTGTTGTTGTTCTCCACCAGCAATGGTCTGTTTTTCGTATCGAAACCGTAGTCTATAATCACTCAGTGTTCGATCGTAGTATTGTTCGGGAATAACTTGAAGTTCGAGAACAAAAAATACATCAGAATTGTCATTGGTTTCCTGTTACAAACAGCAAAAGTATAAGAGAACAATTACTACACATGCATAGAATTGTACTTTGAAAATGGCCCATTTGCCGATTTCGCAATGTGTGATCTCATCAAAACGGGGTAAATCAGCATCATCCGAATTCCACAGTTTAATTTTATTCAAATCGAATTTATTGATTTTGATGGCACCTGCTCGAGTTCCTAGTGAACAAGTATGCTGAGCATGATTTTAAGAAAAAAGTGTTTAATACCTGTGATGGAAATAGTGCCAGTCTTTACAAAATTTTCCTGATCTTGAACTGATTTGATGATATATTTGTCAATATCGAATGGTGCTTGTCCAGGTGACAAGCGACGATATTCATACACATATTCAACATTGACCAGTGGCAAGCCAAGCTGTTTGGCACGACGTATCTTGTAGCTATCTACATCAGTCGCTACCAAAATGTAGTCAGTCTAAAAAAAAGTCAACTCCAATAGCGTGTTTGTAGGATACAACAAGAACGTACACTAGCTGTAAGAATATATGAAACGTATGCTTGTTGTTCTCGTAAATAGTTGATTAGTTCCTGTTTAGCTTTGAAGCCTACTTCACGGCCAAGTTCTAGTACAATCGTTTTGCCATTGAATGGTGATAGACATGAAGTAGATTTAGTAGTTTGTTTCATCTAAAAGTGATCAATGATTTCTTAACAAATCTACAAATGTATTCATTTTGACTCTTGTTTTCATAGAGATGTCATAATATTTTTACACTGAGTATCCAAAGTTAAATATCATAATACTCTAAATAGTATCGAAGTAAAGTATATTCACTTCAATACTTTAAATATTATTTCAAACAGTAATCACCACATGACTTTCAAGTTAAATACATATTTTTAGAATTGAGAAACTTGAGTTTTTCAGTAAAGAAGAGCTTTTTTTAGAAAAAAAATGATTTTCTATAAAGCTTGATCGAAGGTTTTGAGGTTGAAAAATCCAAATCTGAAATGAGTTCTTCGAAATTTTGAAGTTTGATGTTTTCATCAAAAAACTTGTTTTTTGTACAACAGTCGCTTTTTTTTCTTGAAAAAGCTTTTCTTTAGTGGAAAGCTCTACTTTAACTTTAACTACTTTATTAAAATATTTTTCAAGTTAAAGTGTCATCTGTAGTGCGAATAGTGTTGAAGTCAGTACTCCTTAGCGTACCACTAAAATAACTTAAAGTCTTTAGCTCTAAGGATATAGTTATACCGTTGCAATTGAAAACAAAAGTAAAATTGTTTGTTATGACCTACTTTCGATGTAATTGTGTGGAAGTACATGCAGTTGTTTCTGATTACTAATAGAGTTACCTTATATTAAGCTAATAGAAAAAGAGAAGACAATAGTAGATGAATGCTGTTGATATTTTTTTCCTCGGTTCTGTACACGTTGTACGTGTAGTGTTATTGCACAAGTCTATAAAATAGGTATATTGTGGAAGCATTGGCAGGTCAGAGAGCACAACATTAATGCATTTCAACAATGAAATTGTCGCTAGCTGCACATATGAATTTATTACTGGATCATCGATATTCCAATATTGAATATTAAAATTAGAGGGCTTACAAAATTCTCAGCGAGAAGATTTCAAGAATTCGGTAACCTAGATAAGGAGTATAATCATAATTATATAACATATGCGATGATTCTAGTTAGAATTCTATTTGTGCAGTAAAATCAACATTCATAAGTAAATTTCTTGAATTCTGCACCTGAAGAGTTTTATAAATGCTGCTTGAACTATCTAACTGCTTCGTTTTTATCAGAAATACGTATGTCAGTCGATAACACACAAACACCAAAAAAAGTCCTTCTTTTATAATACATGCGAGAGAAGTAATAAATCCTGCGAACTAATCTATATTAATGAATTTCATAACAGAAGTCTTTCTAGCTGACAACGTGGGCTATCTTTTAGTAGCAAGAAAAACGTTGATGCATAGAAAAATGCTAGAATATATATCAGTTTAGAACATCAAAGTAAAAATATTAATATGTCTTTGAAGCTATCACTATTTTTTGCATCTTAATAATGTTTTCTTTTGTGTCTGAAGCGAAATAGTGTTCTCAAGACGATTTCGCATGAAGAATGCTGAAGTTTGAAAGATAACTGCCACTTCTTTTCGTAATTACTATTAACAACTTAGATAGATCGACGAATAAAGTATGAAAACCGATATGAGCCCTTTAGATTAGTAAGATCAGTTGTCTTGTTTTCGAGGATTCGAGTGTTCAGCGTCAGCTCTGATGGTTCACCATTAGTCAAACAAGCTGTGTCATTATTTAAGATTACTATTTGAGCACAATTCTACACTGTAAAAAAAAAGGTACTTGGGTGTGGGTGTGGGTGTGGGTGTGGGTGTGGGTGTGGGTGTGGGTGTGGGTGTAGGATTAATTCTACTTTCGAATCACACAGATACCCACACCCACACCCACACCTTTCAGTTGTTAAGATGCTGCATGACAAAGAAATTCAGGCCCTATCAGAATTTGTACTTACTTATGTTATGTTTTATATTTTTAGTGATGATAATGTTGAAAAATTGAATGTAAAAATAGCGAAATATGCAGTTCCGAGGAATCTGACGATGAAAGTGGCTTCAACGAGATAGAAATTTTCCTTAGTGAACAAGTGCATTTCAAGATGTACATATATGGAGTTGTAGAGAATTTTATGCACTATCAGAATATTTATCTACTCCTCCAAAAGTGCTAATTTACACTAATGAAATATTAAAAATACTGGATACAACTATTTTTTTTCAGACAGAGATTTTTGATACAATATTAAAATATTATTGAAAAATGCTTTCATGCAAAAGTTCAATCTACCAGCTGTTTCAAAACGTTATTCAATGCATTTTGATGCGCTATTTCAAATGATAGTATTCACAAGCTATNGAAATCTGTTGAATGTCGATATTTTTTAGATCCTTCCTTGCATTCTCATGTTGGTGAGCTTGGAAACTTTTTTGCGGTTTCTGATATTGCTTTGTGAGAAAGTACTATAACTATTTGTTTAGGTTCGGGAGACTTTGAACATCAATATTCGGAAACTCTGAATGGTTTTTCAGACAATGACAAAATCGGAAAACCTCTAAGATTTTTCCCAGAAACACACTTTTTTAGGAAATATCAAAATAAGGGCATATTTGCCATAGTTATCACAGTATAGATATAAGGGTGTAGATATAAGCGTGCAGTATTAAGGGTATAGTTATAATGGTATGGTTATAAGGATATAGATATAAGGGTATGGATATAAGAATATGGAAATAGGGATACAGAGATACGGCAAATGCCAACGATAGACCATTTAAATAATGGAATACCTTATACGTAGGACAAAACCATTTTTGAAGAAAAATCAGATATGGTTTCGTTATTTCTTTACTGAACCTTTTTTCAGTCAGAACCTTTTTTGAGGGTTCTGCGTTTTACCCGATAGTAGAACCCATAAAAAGGTTCTGCAAAACTCCTTTTTTATTTTCAGAGTACTAAGGCATATTCATTAGAAGGATTTGGTAAAACTACTGGCAGTCGTTGTCCAGTTGAAAAGATCGTATATGTCGATGAAAATGGTGCTAAAAAGTTATTGATTGTTATTTTAAACAGGGACCATACAAAGATCAATCCAAAGGTTTAGCTGAACTAGCTAAAGAATTACGTGTACAATTACCAGCTAAGGCTAAATTGAATGAAATTCGTAAATTACTTTCCGAACATCGAGCTTTTAATAACGTAAGTGAACATCACTCCATATTTTGAAATATATTTCATCCTATGTGATTTATTCTATTGTATAGGTTATAAAATTTGAGATGCTAGCGAGCAAATATAATGTTAAGATTATATACTGTTCTAAATATCATTGTGAACTAAACGCAATTGAAGATCTTTGGTGCAATCAAAAAAGCATTTGTTCGTTCACGCACATATCAAAGTTTTAAAAAAATGATTAAATTAATAGCGGATTCTCGTATACATTTTGTCGAATGAAATGTTGCAGTAGAATTATTTCGACGTTTTTGGCGTTCAATCGAAGCATATTCTCAAGGTCAAACATATGCTGATATATTAAAACTATTCTTCAGTCAACTTTGTAAAACATCAGTTCAATCACCTCGTAGAATATCAAATAACAATATAAACGAAGCTTAATGAACATATTTTATTCATTTCAATACTTTTAATCTGCATGTCTCCCTTCGTATTATATAACCAAGCATGAAGAATGATTAATCTATTCATGAAAGATTATAAAATATCGATTAATATCACAAAACAATGTTATTTCCAGGGAAGGATTTCCAGAGACCCTTTGAAGATCGTCCAAAGATCGCGGGAATATGTCCATTCGATTCGCCATCAGTTTTTACCTATGTCAACAAATTTTCACTCGGTTTGAATAAAAAATAGTCACTTTATTCACAGATGACCTTCCCCCTTATCCTATCATACGAGTAAAAACGATTTTTCTCAACACAGGAAAGAAAAGAAAAAAAAACACGATCTGTAGCGTGGTGGGAGGTGGTATGGTAAATAGAATGAGACAAAGTATTTGGCTTCATCGTTTACGTGCAAAAACTGGATACGTTTACAAAATCGACCTATACGTATCTCACTTCATACGATTCGAAGCGCCACCACCAATAGAGTTTCGAGTCTAGAGTCGATTTAACAACTTGTCTATACTCCGTTTTTGATGCTGAATCTGAAAAAAGTATCTTCAGGAGCGAAAAAAAGAATAAAGTGAAAAATTTCGGACATTTCGAGAAAAGATATGTTTTTCTCGAAAAACGACACTTTTCGAGTATTTCGTATTTTTCTACCGGAAGGAAGCATTCACTAAGGGTAAAAAGTAGTTTTTCGCAATCAGCAGCTCAAGGTCTATCTGATGATGTGAGAAAAACGCGAAAAACAATTTTTTACTGAAAGTTCGAATTGCCTGCACCTTAAATATAATACTAATATGGATGTATCTCGTTTGTTTATCTATTACAATGCTCGACGAATTGATTTTCAGCATGCAAGGCTCGAAGATTCTGAAGCTACTCTAACAAGCAGTGCCAAAGCGGTACGTAAGTATGGTATTTGTCATGAAGAACGTTGGCCATATGAGGAGAACTTTGTGAATGTGAGGTCGAATCCAAATGTGTACCAAGAATCACGTCGTCTCATTGTCAAACCAGTCAAAGTCTCGATAAACTTGACAGCAATAAAAACATCGTCGGCTAATGGCGTGCCGGTTATGATTAGTATAGTCTTGAGAAATTCAGCAGGTACTGAGGTAAAAGAAAATCAGGTCTATATCTCGATTCCCAATCCCTCATCTACAACCATACGCAACTCGGGAATGCATTCAGTCGTTATTAGTGGCTATGATGAAAGAATACAGCACATGCTCGTACGTAATTCTTGGGGCGAAGAATGGATGAGCAGATAGAAAACTACAATGAAATGATTTTAATAATGATTCTTTAGGGTCTCAAAGGATATTTCTATATTCCATATCGGTATTTATCTATATCATCACTTGTTTACATGAAAGGCAAAGCATGAGCTTTCCGCAATATACTATACGGCACTAAACATTTGCCAATGATGTGCATTTTACGTGTGCCAAATTACCGTCGACAGA